CCACCTCACTGCACGTCTAGTTGAGCTGCAGGGGAAGTTCCACCTAACTACTAACTGTCTGCTTCAGTGCAAAATGGGCCTTCCCCCGGGGCTCTGGAGGAAGGCTGGAAGCCAGGAGCTCACGCGCTTAAGTTTAGCGCCTCAGGGGCACAGTTTCGTGTAGGAAAGACAATGATAAATTTTATTGGCGAACCAGCTAATAAGGTTACAAATCCGGTTTACCCTTTGTAGTATTTTTATGCACGTGGGTTTTCCCAACAGGACCAACCTGACCTCGCCGCGGCGAGGACACCACAGCACAGCCCAAAGGGACCGGCTCCCGTCGCAAACAGGAGGAGAAGCCGCGCTACGATTCGGAACCGGAAAGAGGGAGGCAGATTGAGTGGGAGGACACGGGGTACACAAATCGTTTTCCAGTTTGTCCCCTGCCCGTTGGCAAAGTCGTGATCCTTCGCTCAAAAATTGGGGAGTCCATTCCGGGTGCCAAGGGACGACTCACACTTATTTGGGGTTGTTCCACCCCCCCCCCCATTGAAAACGGCAGGACTAACTTCCCAGTAAGCAGGAGCTGAAGCCAGACTTGGAGTTCGGGGTGAAGGTTTTCACTTATTGTAATACTGCCAGCTTTGGAAAATTGCCCGCCCGTGCGTGTGTGTGTGAGAGGGGGGAGGGAGAGGGAGAGAGAGGGAGGGAGGGAGGGAGAGGGGGAGAGAGAGAGGGAGGGAGAGGGAGGGAGAGAGAGGGGGGAGGGAGAGAGAGGGGGAGGGGGAGGGGAGGGGAGGGGGAGGAAGAGAGGGAGGGGAGGGGAGGGGAAGAAAGAGAGAGAGAGGGAGGGAGAGAGAGGGGGGAGGGAGAGAGAGAGAGAGAGAGAGAGAGAGAGAGAGGTGCGTGCATTCTCTCCTTCCCCACCCCCATCCCCCACCAATTAATACCCTCTGCTTGGAAGCCTTGAAATCGCTTCGGCTGTCTCTGTCCCCAAAGCTGTGCGCGGTGCATTCAGGGCTGCGCCGCTCCCGTGCTAACGCCGCCGCCTCTTCTTCCTCCCACTCCTCCTCCTCCTCCTCCCGCCCAGAGCCGCTTATAAGACGACAAGCTTTGCTGCCGCGGCTCCCTCTTCCCAGCTTTCATCACTTCCGTGCAAAGGCCAACCTGCCTTTGCTCCTCTTATTCCAGCTACCTGCTGGCTGCGAGAGCGTCTGACCTGCTCCCTCCTCCTGCCCTTTCCGACAGCCCCTGCTGGAAAGGTGCATTCTGAGGTTACGGGCACCGGGAGGGGGGGAAAGGGGGAGAGAGAGAGAAAAAAAGTTGGATTTCTCACTGTTATTTGGGGTGGGCAAGGACACCCGGACTCTTCGCTGAGCAGCTCACCTTTTCCCCTTCCTAGCAGGCGAAACATCGAGGGCTTGCCCACTCTTGTAAAGACCTCTAGAGGAGGCAGCTATTCTCCTCCTAAGTCACTTCGGAGGCTTTGAAAATCGCAGACCTTTCGAAAAGTGCCTGAAATCCGAGCGGGGAAGGCCTGTTTCCGCACCCAGCCAAGGGTCGGGGATTTTTTTGTTTTGTTTTGTTTTTGTTTTTTGTTTTGTCCCTCCGCAAGGGCGAAAGCTTATCAGCTTGTCTCGCTGAGATGGAGCTGGTTTTAAAACGCGTAGTTGGTTAAACGTCCGCTCAAAAGACCCAGGCAAGTGTGGAAACAAAATAAAACAAAGAAAAACCGTTTCATGAGAGGGGATCTTTGAAATTAACTCCCCTGGGTTAAATACGGCCGGAGTAGGGTGGCCCTACCTAGTCTTTGGGGACTGCCTTGGTTTTCCACCGAGGAAAGAGAAAAAAAAAGTCTGAAATTAAAGGACGCGGGGTGTAAAGTTAAGCAACGTTTTCGCCTCTAAGGTCGTTACTGCGCCCCCCCCCCTTCCCCGTTTGTCTTGGCATTTGTCAGTGAATCAGAATTTATAAAAAATCTGTTTCTCTCCCACCTCACCCAAAAGGAAGAAAATGTCTATTTACATCACAAATAATTCTCTCTCTGTGTGTTGTGTGTGCCTGGGTGCGCGCGCGCGCGCGCGCGTGAGTTTTAAGCTGTAAATTTCACCCATATAAAATACGTGTGTGCGTATTACAGTTAATGTAAACTGATATATATCTTTAAATTATTTGAAAGAGTGCCTGGGTATACTGCGTAAACAAAATAGATCCGCAGAAGGAAATATGTGCAACACACGCTCCGTGCGGTCAGAAAGTTAAGATCCCTGTTTGCTCCTTTCCTCTGAGTGTGTCCCGAAATATGTATGTATATGTGTGTAAACATATGCACAAATCGGGGTGCTTACCTACAGAAATAGCTCCGGCGTTCTTCTTTCATAACTTGCCTGTGTGCGCGCGCGCGCGTGTGTATGAACATATAGCCGTATCAAGGGTGGGTGAGTAATTAGATGCATAATCTATGTGTGTTCAATATGTCTATGTGTTCTATATAAACTCCACAGATGGGAATGATTTTTTCCTCTCTGTCTGAGGCTTCCTTCTCCAGCCTATTGTTTCAGACAACAGATATAAGTTGCGATGGGAGAGGAACGTCGGATTTGGTGTCTGTCCCCCATTTCCAATTATAGATGGATCATTACAGACAGAGAAGTCCTGAGAATCCAGACATCTGCTCTTCACATGAATGCACTCACCTCCTAGAGGACAGCCCGCCATCATGCTCTGGAAACTGGTGGAAAATGTGAAATATGAAGACATCTACGAGGTCAGTATGGAGAGAAGAGGCAGCTCGGCGGGGCAAAGGAGAGTTACAGAACCGGGCAAGAGTCTCAGGCAGGCGTAGAGATCTCGGGAAGGCGAACCGGAGAGGGGGTCCGACTCCGGGAGCCTTGGCGCCGTTGCCTGCCTCGCGCCGGGGCAAGGGAAGCGGGGCGGAGGGGGGGACAGGCAGAAAGGGATTGCGGAGGCTGCCTTAACCGCTTTAGATCCGAAGAGGAACTTTCTTTTCTCGTTTTTGCTTTCGTTTCCTTCTCCCTCTCAAGAAATGAAAGAGGCGGGCACGCTGCAGTCAGCTGGCGGGGAAAACAGCGATTCCCCGGCACGCCGCGCTCGCTTTAGATCCACCGGAATTCGATTAGACCGCAGCCACCCTGCCTTTCCTGTGTGTATTTCACAAAGGCAGCTTCCTGCGGAACCCGAAGGGGCTTGCTTTGCTCGGCTCGCTTTTCTTTGTGAGGCAGCGCGAAGCAGGGCGGAAAGGCACAAGTCCCGACGTGTCTCGGAGACCCCCCCCCGCCCGCCCGCCCGCCCGCCCGCCAGAAAAGCCCTTACTGCGATCTGGGCTCTTTTCCTTTTGCTTTGCAGGCATCCTTCGCGCCCGAGAAACAAGAGAGCCGGCTCGCTTACTTCGGCTCTTTTATCTCGAACCGCTGGTCTAAATTGCCAAGCGCGATCCGGCTTTCTCCGCAACGGGCAAGCGTGATCACCCAGTTCCGTTTGCCCTGCCCCGAAATAAATCCATTTGCCCTAAGCGCTTAAGCCCCACCTTAGGTTAGGATATTAACGTCTATTCCGGGCTGCTGAAAAGAGAGTTTTCTCACTAATTTCCAGCGTCTGGACTCCGGTGGTGGATAGTTTCGGGTTGTTTTTTTTTTTTTTTTCCTCCCCAGCCCCTTTTTTTTCGGGTGGGCGATCAGCTGGCGCCCTTGGAGAAAGCATCGCGTCCGAGGCAACAGGATTCGAGTTTCCTCCGGCCGGTTAAGTTGACCGTTTCTTTCTGAACGAACCCGAAGTCTGCCGCCGGCTTGGCCCGACCAGTTAATGTTTGAAAGCTTAAACTTGTGGGAGAAGCGAGACTGCCTCGCCCCGTCTCCCTCCAAGGCGCTGGGCTGGGGCACTCGTGTAGCTGCCTTGCAGCCCCCGGACAGACTCTCCAGACTTCCAAAAGCGCCCGTCGGGACAGGGATCAACGAAGCGCCGGCAAAGGTGTTCAGTTCCGTTCCATTTCCCCACTGCAGACTTCTCTCCCACCCCACCCCACCCCCCTCGCTCTCCCTGGCCTTCCCCTTGGCGTCCCCTTCCCACCGACTCACTTAAATACAAGCTTCAAAGTGAGTGGCGTCCCTACTGGAGGGAAGGTGAGCCAGCGAGGCAAAGATTCTGCCTCTCAATTTCTGCCACCCTTCAAGAGCAAATCTGGGGTCCTTCAGCCGGCCAGCGAGGGTTTCTAAGTACGCCGAGGTGTACTTCTGGTTCTTTTTCCTCACCTGAAATAGTGTTACCCTGACTTTGGGTGGATTAAAAGATCCTTGCAAATTCTAGAAAGGGGACTGAAACACCAGAAGGACTCTAAAACCGTTCTCTTTGGAGTTTTGTAACTATGCCATAAATTTACTTTTAAGACAGGTGTGCGTGCGCGTGTGCCCGCCCGCCCGCCCGCCCGCGCGGGTAAACGCACCCACCCACCTTCGTGTAGGGAACCTTTCCTTTTGTACATCAGACCGGCCAAGCTTTAAAATGTAAGATTCAATGGTGGTAAAGTAATGGCAATTTTTAAGGACTTAGGCATCCAAGTTTCTCCTGAAACCGAGAACGCGTTTAGGAAAGAATGTTCGGTTGAACTTTAACTGGCGTATTTGCCAGGGTTGGGCAGCAGCTATTGTAACGTGAGAAAGGTTTTCTGTCGCCTCTGGCTTTGCCAGAGAACTGTAAATTTGGTTTTTCTTTGGAATCATTGCATCCGCGTTCTGTTTAGGTGACTGCTGGGCGCCTTTTTGGCACAGCAACTGCCAGAGGCAAAGTAAATGTATATTGGGCGGGCGCACACTCGCCCATGTACACTGGCTGGCTTTCGGTAGCCCGTTGCAAAACCTCATCAATCTATAGCAGGTTTCGGTTGAGTTCTCTCTCTCTCTCAATATGTCTTGCTCGCTCGCTCGCTCGCTTGCTTGCTTGCTTGCTTGCTTGCTTGCTTGCTTGCTTGCTTGCTTGCTTGCTTGCTTGCTTGAAAGCTTAATTGCTTCTGTAAACAAATCGCTTCGGCTGCCTTTAAATGTTAAAAAAAATGACAAGATTGGAGAAGCTCTTATTTGCTTTAAAAATCAGAACAAAAGCACCGAAGGCAATCGATTTTCCTTCCTATTTGGAATTTATAATTAAATATAAAAAAACGGGTTGGGGTGGAGGAGAGAAGGGAAATATGATTTTCTCCCTCCTTTCCCTTTGCCTCTAGTATTGCTCCAAATCACTTCCTCGCTTCAGATCAGTAGCGCCTCGTTTACACACTTTCTTCCCCTGTTCAAATTAATAGAAGTTCTGCCTCTTGCCCGTTCAACTTTTTGTCCCTTCCCTCTCGCTCTCCCCCAGCGCTGCCTCCGCCAGCCCCCTCGTCTGATTACATCTAGTAATTCTCCACTGAATGAACGTCATTTACAATACGAGGGGAGCTCTCGAGCTGCCTGCAAAGCCTTCACGCTCCATTTGGTCTTGCATTCTCCCTTTAAAGTAGTCGTGTAATATTAATAGTCATGAATATCAATTATTATGAGGCGGCGTAGGGAAGGGAAAGGAGAAAGGGGCGCTGGAGCAGTCTGAAGCTTGCCTTGGGTCGAAGAGGATTGCTTTTGGAAGCGCAACGGGCGGGGAGGGGGTTGCACCACGAGGACGCTCCTCACCGACCATAGACTCTCTCCATACACATTTTCCTCCAAATTTTAGTTTTGATGGATAGACTCGGAAATACCTCCAGCTGTTCTCCTGGGTGTACCAAGGTCCTTTGCAGATTTTCTTGATACCGCCCCTCTCCTTGTTCCTAGTGTTATTAATATTAATTTATTAGTAGCAGTAGTACTATTCTACTGCAATTTTGTTTTTTACTTGTTTCAAGATTTTTTTAAACAAATTTCCAGATGTTAGTCCACACCTATTCCGCTATGGTGAGTTGGGTCCATGTTGTGATTTAAAAATTGCCCTATTCTCTTTGCCTTTCGATCCCCTGTTTCTAGACCCCCTTCTCATTCCTTCTCTCCTCTCTCTCTCTCTCTCTCTCTCTCTCCCTCTCTCTCTTAGCCTCTCTTCCCCCCCCCCTTTCTCTCAACGCCTTTGGCTTGGTAATTTAGCACAATAATTGGAAGACGCTTGCAGCTGCTTCTCCATTTTGCATTGTGTGTTCTTCATTTGAACTGGGAACCAGGAAGGGGGGGGGGATCAGTGAAGGGAAACTTTTTCAGGGGAGGAAGGAGATATTGCTGTTGAGAAAAGGAGCTATATTTTCTAATGGGGGGGGAGGTCTAAAATTTCAGCTTTGCTGCAGTTATAGTATGTGTCAGTATAATAAGAATATTCGTTGACATTTTATTTTTTTCAGGTCGTTAGAGATAATCATTAATATATACTCTTTTTATAGTCATTTGATTTTTTTCTATTAGAGACAAATGTAATTTGGGGAAAAATGTTAAAAGACCAAGACCAATATGTTTATTTCAGACGAGAAACAGACTTATTTGTCCATGCACCACTTTTTTTTTTCCTTTTGGAGTTGAGTTTCTTTGAGAAACATTTTGGCTAAAGCTGTTTTTATACCTTCTTGCTCTTAGAATTATAGTCCCCCGGTCCTATGTCTTGCCACCCACAACTTGAGCGGATGGCCTCTTTGTTGATTTCTTCTCACATTTTAAAGATTTTTTTTTTCTGAAGCAATTGATGGTTTTATACGTTCACATTTATTCATATGCTGTCGAATGGCTCAAGCAGCATTATACTGTTGTTATCATTGTCATCATTTTTCCTGGTGCAGTGAAAGCCTTTTGGTGAACTTTTTTTTAAAAAAAATAATAATAATCTATTTTATCATCATCCTCATCCTCAACCTCATTATGCCACTTGAGCGTTGGGCTTTAGTAAAGGCCATTTCGATTGCTTGTAATTATAGTTGAACGTATGGGGAGAAGATAAGAAACAAACGGTCATTAATCCCAGGGAAATATTTACATTGACTCGTACGGGGGCACATGGCGACCATCACCACCACGTTGGGAGACATAGGAGCACTTTATGATGGATTTTTTAGTCGTGTGGAATGACTTTTTTAAATGCCTCTCTCTCTCTCTCTCTCTCTTTCTCTCTGCTTCTTTTGTTTGTATCCCTGTCTGGGGCCTGAACTGCTCCCTCCAGGACCGGCACGATGGAGTCCCCAGCCACAGTTCCCGGCTGTCCCAGCTGGGCTCGGTCTCTCAAGGCCCATACTCCAGCGCCCCTCCGCTCTCTCACACCCCCTCCTCGGACTTCCAGCCGCCCTACTTCCCGCCGCCCTACCAGCCTCTTCCTTACCACCAGAGCCAGGACCCTTACTCCCACGTCAATGACCCCTACGCCCTGAACCCGCTGCACCAGCCCCAGCAGCATCCCTGGGGGCAGCGACAGCGGCAAGAGGTGGGCTCCGAAGCCGGCTCCCTGCTGCCCCAGCCGCGGGCTTCTTTGCCGCAGCTCTCGGGCCTCGACCCGCGACGGGACTACCACTCCGTCCGGCGGCCAGACGTCCTTCTCCATTCGGCTCACCATGGCCTGGACTCCGGCATGGGCGACGCGCTTTCCCTCCACGGCATCGGCCACCCCGGCATGGAGGATGTGCAGGTAAGTCCTCGCGGGAAGGCTGAGGCGTTTGGGGGATCGCGCTCCGGAACAGGCTAAGGGGTTAGGGTGATTGCCCCGCCAGAGTTTATTGGAACCCTTCCGAGGCTCGACAGCCACCGCGACACCGGTGTAAACTGGGTCGGTCCAACGGTCCGGTGAAGTGGCCTAAAAGGGCTCTTCCTCTGCCCCGGGCAGCTTTGACGGGCCAGGATCCTGAGCAAGCCCGGCCTTTGGCAAGAGGCGAGTCCGCCGCCTTCGTGTGGCGGCCAGGTGCCGAAGGTTGCTGGAACTGCTGAGCTGCCTTGTTACAGACTCAGACCTAGACCCAGCCAGCGGCGCAAAGTTTCTGCCCAACCCCAGAGGGCCTGGTCCCGTCACATTTTCCCAACCCCCGCCCCCCCCCCCAAGGAACTCGTTTCTAAGTAGGGACGGATCTCTAGGAAGGGGGGTGAGCACCGAGCCGGCGGGCTCCGGACTCTCGAGGGTGGCCAAAGAAATGTCAAGATCCCCTCGCCAACCCCCCTCTCTTCCCGGAGCCCTGGAAGCTTGTCGGTCCCTACCACTCTGTTCTCCCCTATCCTCCTAGGCTGGCTTAGACCCCGCCGGGCCTTCGAAGAAAAAGGCTGGGCAGGAAGATTTAAATTCCAGGCCAGCTTGGGGGAGTCCAGGGCTTTGTCCCAGCCCAGCCCGCCACAGCACCGGGAGCCTGGTTCAGTTTTAGTCTTACTTTTTAGTTTTTAGTCTTTAGTTTTCCCCCTTTGCAATTTAGATCACCAAGAACTTGACAGATTACCCTGGCCCAAGAAGCTGGCAGCGTCTTTTGGTGGGGAAAGGGGTGTCGTCTTCAGCCTACATTGTGTGGCTTCTTCTTAGCTCCGATGGATTCTGGCCTTGAAGCCAGACCTTGGCACACCGGTCTCTTGCTCTCTCTCTCTGGTTTGCTTGCCGGCGGCTGAATGCCTTGGAGTCAGCGCATCTCCTGGCTTTGATTGCCCGTTGCCGGCTTTGTGTGTGTGTGTGTGTGTAAATAACTTTCCAAAGCGAAAACTGGAGCTGTGAAAAGCAAGGGAGCAAACAGTATGGGGAAAACAGGGGCTCACTGACGGTACCGCATGTTTTGCAGGTCAACCGATAGGAAGTGGGACGCGGGGGAGCACTAAGGTTTTGCGTTTCCCCGCAATCGGTGTGGTTTTGTGCTGCGTTTTCCCGCTAACCGTTTCCTGATTTCGGCGTGCAACTGCCTGAAGTTAAATCCTCCGATTTAATAGGCACGACTCTGCCTTTCTCCCTTAAGGGTAACCTCAGCTAGGCAAAAACGGAGCCTTCCTTTTTTCTACTTCTTAAAGCTTCCAGGGTGAATGGGAAAAAACAATGAACTGAGGCAGGTCACAAGAAAGGGCCTTTTTTTTGGAAAAGGAAGCTGACTGTCCACTTTGACCGCAGATTTACCCCCTACTCTCTCCCAAACCTGGAGTCCTGGAGGCCTATAATCAGGGATCGATATTATAATAACCAACTGCTTCCCCTGACTAGGTGTGCGCCTTTGCAAAGGAGGGCAATTTGATTTTGAAATACGTTTATTATAAAATTTCTGAAACTATGCCTTTGCAGACAAGGAACTGCTTAGCAGCAATTATCGAAAGCAGAGAAAGGGGAAGGGCCTGCCACATGTTACATTTTCAAGAATGTTTGTCAGATTAAGTTAGATGCTTTCCCCCCCCCCTTCTAATAGTTCTTCTCGCCTTTCTAACTCGGTCGTTTGTTTATTTAGAATTTAGCTGAATCGAGATAAGGAGAACCTGGGGTGTCTCCTATATTATCATACAGGACTTTATTTGGCTTCTGGGGGGGAAGGGGGGTGGTGGAGAAAACTGAACGAAAACTGCATCTTGTTCCCCTTCCCTTAAGTCGGTTGAATGGGAATGTACCTGACTGTGACCAAAAGAAATCAGGCAAGTAGAGATGGACGAAATTAAGGAGAACGAGGCATTCCGCACCCCGTGACTTGCCAGGTTTCTGCTCGTCTGAACGAAAGACGGTTCTTCCGGTGTGTAGATTTCTGCCCCTGGCCACGTGCAGCCTAGACCTTTGCAGGTTTACCCTAAAGAGAATTTAATTGCGTTCCAAGCCACTTGCTTCTAAGCCAAAGGTGCCTAGAGTGGCAGAGAGGAGAGAGTGCCGCCAAAGTGATCCAATAGGGCCTGTGGGTTGCTGTAATCAAGACTGGGAGGGTGTAAGTTGCAGAGTCTTGGGTCAGTAAGATTGGGTTCCTCCACACATCATACCAGTCTTTTTCTTTTTCAAGAAATTAGGTGTTTCTGTGAGCAGTAGTGGCAAGAAGCTCTTTAAGTCACGAATCGGCTCAAAAACTATGCTATCTCGGAAAAAGTTAACCCCCATTAACTTAAGAGCATAGACTTGGATCTTTCCCATCGATTCGTTGGAAGTTGCCTTTGCCCAACAATGCCTGACTTATAAGAGTAAAACACTGTTGAAAGAGTGGAGAAAAAGACTATTCAAACACTCCGTTTTCCCTTTAAGAGATCCGATTTTAAGTTGTTTTAAACGATTTAAAAAAAAGTATCTTGGTGCTAATGGGTTTGAAAAGATCATTCCATTTATTCTGCTGTAAGCACTCTGACTGAAGTGAGCCTGACAGGTGCCTTAGCTAAACGGATTAAATTTGCTGCATCTACAGATGCCACTATGATCTGCCCATTCTAAGTTGGATTCTTTATAAACAACTGCAGAATTCTGTGGGCAGGATGTCACGAAGGGTTCACAGGTTCGGTGGTTATTAGGGGGAATTCTTGTAATTTTCAAAATAAAAATTTCACTTTGAAGTTCAGTGAGACTTATTTCTGAATAGATATAGGATTGCACTCTTAGAGTATATGTATTTATTGGTATTTATTTCATAATTTCCTTTGTAAATTAAAGTTAGAAGGGAGAACAAGAGGGATAGAGCATTATAATACACACCCGTGAAGGCCAGGAAGATACTGGCAATTTTGGCTTTAATTAAAATATGAAGGTCAACTTATTTATGATATCGAGTTTATTATACACTCGTGCAGAGTGCTGTCTACATGAGAGTGTGTCTGTATATGTGGGAGAGAGATTAAGGTAAATAAGTATGAGATTACCATTAGAAGCATTGGGTAGTTCTCTCAGGTAGACATCCTCGTTCAACAGTTCCACCTGCACTGGTTTTGTTTCGCTTATCACTTCCGTTGCAAATTTTATTACCTGGAAGAAGATGAAAGGGAAACCAGGATGCTTACTCCTAGTTACGGTTTCCACAGTGGACCTTGCTTCCCAAGTAAATCCTGTTGCAAGTTTGCCAAGCGTGTGGGCTTCTCTCCTTGTGGGTCAATTTTGTTGTTTCAGAGACAGGTTCGCCATCCAATTGGATGGAGCCTCGAGCCAGATGCTCATTTGCAGCCGAGCTCCCTTTAGCCTTGAGAATGGAAAGAATGGAAGGGTAGCCCCAGGAATTCCCTCTTACAGAAATCCCTTGATGGGCGCTCTCATGCACGTGTCTCCCACCGAGCTCAAGGAGTGTGCATTAGGTTGCAACCCCCACTTTTGCAAATTGATGTGAAAATGAACCCCTTGGCAATGCAAGATGCTGACTTCCAAGCCAGCGTTCAAGAGGAACGGAAGGACTAGAGGTGTCTCCCCTCACACTCAGCCCCTCCCCGTGACCCTGATTTTATTAAGTGGACTGGGGAGAAATGTCTTCAATTTGGTGGTGGGTCATTAGTGATCCCTCTTCTTCCCCGCTCCAACCTTTCTCCATCTCTTCTCTCTCTTGCCATCTCTTCTAAGAGGAGTTGAAGTGATCAAGTTTTGTGGCGGGTGAAACATCCAAGTCTTTCCCAATCCGGTGCCCACTTCATCTTGGACCCCATTTCCCATCTTCCCTAGCCAGAGTCCCAGGGAACTCTGGGAGCTGAGGTACCTTTGGAAAGGAATTCTGGAAGTGAAGGCTGCCATTAAAGAAACCCGACAATTAAAAGTGTGAGGGGTATGTGGGAGTTTTTGTAAGGTGGGTGGGTATCCCTGCACGCGCATGCTTCTGTTCACGTTTCCGCGTGCAGTCCTAATTAAATCTTTACGATTCTCTCTGTGACTATTAACTGCCAGCATGCTGCGCGAATATCCTGTACAAAAACCCAGCAGGCGGCCGTAATTAGATAGAAAATCAGACAAGACTCTTCTCATTAACTACAACAGCTCAACCACATTGTGGAGTGGGGGAGAGGGGGAGTCGGAAAGGAGCTGAGGTCGTGTGGAACCCTTGTCCGAAGATAGCACCACTCAGCCGCCTGACTCGGTGAAGAAGGAAGGATGTTCGTATAGTGAACCCAGAATGGCAGATTCAGATTTCATTCTGTCCTGGAAGAAAGTGACACGTGCAGTTTAAAACCCATCCTCCTCCCCCAAATACTACCGTAACCCTACCTGTGGAGAAAGTGGGATCTTGTCTGGAGAACTGTGGGTCTTTGGAGAGCCACTAAATGACCGTTGAGCCAGTGAAACTCTTTTTACATTCTTAAAAGCTCACCTGAAACTATAAAAGTGAGGAAGGGGAAGGAGCATGGCAACACTTTATCCTTTAACTTTAATCGCTTTATGGGAGCTTCTAACTTCCTCCCAGCTGAGAGGTTGCTGGGGGCAAGGTTTTTTTTTTTTTTTTTTTCCAGATTTAGATAGCAAGAGCTACTGGTGAGGTTCACTCAACACGTTCTGCTTGGCTGAGTGCTGGGGACGGGCTATGGTGTTCTAGCTGAGTTCAGGAGTCGGTGTAGAATGTGAACCCTCCCAAAATGATGTGGACTTATATGATGAGCAGCTATATGGAAGGAAGGAAGGAAGGAAGGAAGGAAGGAAGGAAGGAAGGAAGGAAGGAAGGAAGGAAGGAAGGAAGGAAGGAAGGGAGGGAGAGAGGGAGGGGGATAAAGTTTATGATGCATTAGTTCTGTCATGCCAATGTGCCACTGCCAAGAAAAGCCACAAAGTAAAATGTGGCCCAAGATTACAACCTCTCTGAAGGCAGTGAAATTTCCAGATGGTGGGGATGAATCTTTGACATGGAGCTGGAGGAAGGCTGCTTGGATTTCTGGTCTGTTCAGTCTGCTTCCAGGTCAATGTGTTTAAGATCAAATTATAAGCGACTTGACTTGGGTGATGCAGAAAACCTCGAATGAAATGAAATGCTGGCTGCCAGTCAAATGGAGAGTCAGAAATGTGGGTTGTGATTTAGGGCACAAGGTGCCTAGATCCATACTTGGCCTCTTAGTGGCTCAGCCCCAAAACTCTGGAGTGGGTTGGTTTCGTAGAGATATGTTTAGTTGCCAGTTCTGTGTTGAATCTTGTTCCTTGATTATCATGCATAATTATTGGGTTTCTTATAATTCTCTGGAGGTCTGGAGCATCTGAATGAGCCTAGAGCCTTGGAAAAACAAAATTAATTCCTTGGATTTCAGCTGCCCTCTTCTGAAAAACAATTGTGGTTACTCAAGACGTTTAAGGTTAATTGAACAAAGGTTTACTCAACACTATTTTCTGAATTGCTAGGATGCACTGAATTAATTACCCTGGTTGAATTCACACAACGCTTTGATCTAAAATATATTAGCCATTTTTGAGATAACGGGCACTGCACACCATGAGACAGCCTACAACTTTTATAAAACAGCAACCTAAATTGATGTAAACTTAAGGGAACTTAACTTGGGCTGAGAGACAGAGGAGAAAGGGTGTGACCAGATCATGTTCTTGCCATGTACAAGGGTGTGGAGAACGATATATTCTAGTTTTACCTTTCTGTTTGTTATTCTTTATCACCGAGCCATGATGGCTAATTTTCTATTATTTAATGGCAGAGAAACAGGGAACCTAGTTCTGAAATAAAGAATCTGTCTTGATAAACCGAGGCAGATTCAGGCTGGCTGAGTTCATACAATTGTAGCAGGAAATGCTTCTGATACAAAAGGGAGGTGCTTAATTGGATTGCTTGCTCCTTTCAAGATGCTTCTGTCCACTGCGAGTTGCTACATGTAAGGAGCTACAATTATCATTCAGGAGGAAACCAACAGCACAGACCCATTGCTGACTCCTTAGCAGCAGAAGCCCCTTCATTCCATAGGACTGGTTCCCAGTATGGTGCAAGGCTGCAGTTCCAATATAGAAAAGGCACCACCCTAACCTGACCCTCTTCTGAAGTGTTTGAAGGCATTTTACCATGAGACATGAGCTTTATGCGATCTGCATGTCATGAGAGTTAGTGGCCTCCAATAAAATGCATTAGTCAGAAAAGATGCTGTTAGTCTCCTGATTTTTTTTACCACCCTACACTAACACTGCTCTCCCCCTACAATGCCCCCAAAGTGTTGGTCTCCTATCGTCCCTACTGGCTAATGATTAATCAGAATTTACCGTTCTTTGATTTGCATTCTTTGCATACCAGATATAAATTTATTAGCTTTTAGTAAATAACAAGCTCTGGCAACCTAAACCAGTATTAAAATTGTCTCCTTGGATCCTTAATCTGTTCAGTTAGTATTGTATACATGGGAATTCCCTGTAAAAGTTGAGGGCCTCTTGCTTCCTTGTCCACAGGTAGCAGCCACAAGGTAGTAAGGAGTCTCCGGTGTCAAAAATAAAAGTTGTCCTTATAGGAAGAACGATAATTATGCCAATCAGTTACTACTCCTGTCCCATTTATTCTTTGCTCCATCTCAGGCTCCATCAAGGCAGGAGTCCAACTGTACAGAAATAAATAAAAGCTGAAGTCACTTCTTTTTTTTATTGAAAAGTTTTATACAAGTTTTTAACAATAACCCTCCTAAAATAACCCCTCCCTCCCTCCCCCCCTCACTTCCCAGAGCTGGTTACAGGATTACAAATAAACAAACATGAAGTCACTTCTTTACTGGCACCATGTGTAGCTCAGTGTCATAATGCACATTTGAGACCTGTCACAATTAATTTTCTTTGCATTGCCTTCTATGTCATTATAATTTCTCTTGCTCTCCCTGGCCTCAGCCACTGAAGTCAATTGTCCCTTAAAGTAATAAACTCAAAATGCTGAGATAACTGTTGGAATAATATTTTATTTGATCAGTTATCTGCTTTAAAGGGGGAAAAAAATCCCCAACCTCGACCATGTTAAATACTGTGTTTGGAATGGTACCCCCTCCCCCCAGTCAGCAATCCTTGGAGTTGGTGGTCTAGAGGGAGTTGGGTAACCTTTACGTACATTTGCACTAATTTGGTTGATTTCAAGTTCTAAATCCATTTCCAACATCCACCAGAGACTCAGCAGCATAAATTGTGGGATAAATCTATAGCAAGCCATTGATCCTTATAAAGAGGAATGCAAAGAGTCTCTTGTTTACTTTTCCCCAGAGCAAAGCTCCGTACCTATTTTCTTGGGACAGCCCCTTCTGAGCACAGGGAACTCCAATAAAAACTAGGTCAGAAGGGAAGTGAATAAGCAGCAAAGAGTTTTCCTGCTGAGCAAACTTGCACCCACTGCTAATTTCTTTTCACCTGTCAAAAGCGTAGTTGCCGGTCTCAGTGGGCTGCACAGATACCAAAGCCAAAATTCCCAAGACTCCAGGGAATAAAGGCTGAGCACCATCGATGGGTTACTTGGCCTCTTAAATCATTAGAAAAAGAAGGATTATACCTTATATTTTCTTTTCACCCCAGATCCCCTAATAAAAGGAAGCTTCATTTTCATATCATTTTAACATGTGAAAAATATAAATTAATTGCGTTTCCTGGAAATAACAAAGGTTCTAGGTCCTAAATGAATTTGAGACGGTGTGGGACTTTGCCCAGCTCTATGCACCTCTTTGTTCTTGTGAAGTGCAATTTGAATAGTGATTTTTTTTCCCCCTTCTTTCTTCCCCTCTGTCCTTAGGCAGTAGAAGATGCTAATAACAGCGGCATGAACTTGCTGGACCAGTCGGTCATCAAAAAAGGTATGGGTAACTCTTCAATTGTTGCACAGTTTTGTAGAGTATTTGTGGGCACTTTACAGAGGCATTTCAGGCCTATTTGGGAGTAAGCTTCATGAGGGGCTTTCTTCCAGGTAGCGTTGAGGATGGGATTGTGTGCTTTGCATAGAGAGAAGGCTATTCAAATTCCAGAAAGGAAAGCCCTTGTGTCCTGATTGGATTCAATATTTGCAACATACTGTACATTCTGAAGAACTGCAGTTGGGCTCAGGAAGTAGAAATGCTGAACAAAGCAGCCAATGGGCTGGAATCTTGCCTCACGGCTTGTGTTGGAGCTTTTCTCTAGTTCTAGGAAATAACTTTTCCTCTCTGTGGGAATTAGCTCAACATCACCTGCAAGAGGCTGAATTCTTGTCTAATGTGCTTTTGGTTTTGCTGGAGCGTCTTTCCAAGAAATATTTAGGGTTGTGTGAATATGAGCAGAATCTGCTTCCTAGTAGGACATATGAGATTTCCAGGATGGATGAAAAGTTGCCATGTTATTTAAATTTAGCTCCTGGGAGGAGGAGGAGGCAGAGGCGGAGGCAAGAGAGACAGAGAGGGGGAGAAAGACAGAGGGAGAGAGAGAGGGGGGAGAGAGACAGAGACAGACACAGAGAGGGAGGGAGGGAGGGAGAGAGACAGAGGCAGGGAGACAGAATGAGAGGGGGAGAGAGAGACAGAGACAGAGACAGACAGACACAGAGAGGGAGAGGGAGGGAGGGAGGGAGGGAGGGAGGGGGAGAAACAGACAGAGACAGAGAGAGAGAGAGAGGGAGAGAGAGAGAGAGATCACAAAAAACGTTTTATTTGAAGGTTGGGAATTTCCACCCGTCTCTTGTGCTCATATACCTGTATTGTCTAGATAGAAAAGATTTGATCCACCACCCCCCCGCTCCGAGCAGTACATTAAGGGTTGTAGGGATACAATTTCTTCTGTGTAAGCAGGCAGGGGATGGGGGGGGGGGGAGGTTATTGGTCTTCCTTGGCGAAATATGTTGGGATGGTTTGGTTTTTTTTTAGCGGCCGAGTACTTGTGGACGAAAATGAGGTACCGAAGGAGGAGGAAAGGGCAAGGAGGGGGGGGTCCCCCCGCGCTCCATTTGTCTACACAGACATACGTGATTTAGTGTAAGTGCGCGGCTTCGCCCCACCGTAGTAGCGGGAACGTGATCTTAACAAATGTTTGCAATCTCTTGTACAGCTGTAAGCAAAATAATTAACTAATTAAACTAATTAAATGTAATTACAATAACTCATTTTGGGCGTATTGCAGCTGCTTCGTGCCCCCCCTCCCGTCCTTCCCGTTTTGAATTTCTTTGACAGGCTCGGGGAGAGACACGCCCCCTCCCTGCGCAAAGCTACCGGAGGAGGGAAGGAGCCCGCTTTAAATTAGCAGCAGAAAGGCGCGCTGACGTTCAGCTGGTCTCCCCGAGAAGCGAGAAAAAGCTCTCTCGGCTTCCCTTGCTATCTCTGGGCTCACCCCCCCCCCCAATAGGAAGCTCCTTATCCGAACTAAGGAGACTTTGCCTGGCCTAGAAAGCCTGCTTGGGACTGAGAGCCACAGAACAAAATCAAGCAGTTCTCGGGCTACGGGCCAGTTCGAGTGCTTTCCCCCGCTCTCCCGGCCCCCGAGTGGAATTAGGACCTGGTCTGGGTCTCATGCGTGGGGGCGTCTGCGTGCTCCGCAGGCTGGCTTGGATGCTCCCTCAGAGGCTTGGGTTCCGGCTGGGTTTGGCCTGAGCCAAAGTCCGCGCAGGCGCCGGAGACTCGCTCTGCTGCGGGCCACCAGTCGTAAGATCCCTTTGGCCTCCCTAGGCTTAACTTGGGATCGAGTTCGAGTTCAACTAATTCAGGAACGCGCCGTTCTTTTCAGACCCTTAAGTAAACGAGGGTCGGACGAGATGCAGAATGGGGAGGACGGGCGGTGAGGTCACCCAGATGCTGCTTGCTCCCCCGATACGGCCTTTAAGAGATCAGCTTGGAACGGATTTCTGCTCATCGACTCAATAATTCAGTCCAGATACTGCTGCTTGAACTGAAAGCGCAATCTGAAGGATCTTCACCCCATGAACGCAAAGGGTGTTTAGGATTGGAAAACAGGCCTTGAGGCATTTTCTTAGAAGTGATTTACAGCATCGCCCTGACTCCCGGTGTGGCCACAGAAGCCTGCCTTCGTTATTATGTCGACCCTGGGATGGGTGGATAACCCTATAAATCACGAGTGAAGGAATGGCCTTCGTGGGGCTTTCTTTGGAATAAATAGTCTAGGAATAGAGTGTTTATCGGACATCTGTTTCACTGAAAGCCTCTGGGCTTAATTTCCAGGTGAATAAGTTTATTATCCTCGTCTTGAAATGTATTAAGTATTCGTTCTAATACCTCCTGGGAAGGTAACTCCTCTAGCTAGAGAACTTAAATCACCCCGACGCTAGATACCACCTAACCAGGATCTGTCGTCCACTAAATCTCGGGTCGTGGAACTTAACTTGGTTAACTGAATTGTAGCTTGTTCAATTAATTATGTTCAGGTTCGCACGACACATTTGGCTAAAATACGTTGGCTAATTTATGGTTCTGTTTCATTGTTGGGTTTTTGCTACAAAGAAGTGGAGCATTCCTGTCAGGATGCCTCCCGTGGCTTCTTTCTCTCCCATCCACTGAATTCATGGAAAATGGGGCTGTTTCCCGGTTTTCCTAGCACAAAAATATCCTTGTGACCAAGATGCGCTAAAGAATAGAATAGAATAGAGCTGGAAGGGACCTTGGAGATCTTCTAGTCCAGCCCCCTGCTCAAGCAGGACAACCTATGCCATCTCAGACAAGAGGCTGTCCAGCCTGTTCTTAAAAATCTCCAGTGATGGAGTGCCCACGATTTCTGGAGGCAAGCTGTTCCACTGGTTAATTGTCCTCACTGTTAGGAAGTTTCTCCTTAATTCCAGGTTGCTTCTTTCTTTGATCAGTTTCCAACCACTGTTTCTTGCCCTGTCCCCTGGTGCTTTGGTGAATAATATCACTCCCTCTTCTTTGTGGCAGCCCCTCAAATACTGGAATACTTCTATCATGTCTCCCCTATTTCTTCTTTTCTCTAGATTAGCCAAACTCAAGTCCTGCAGCTCTTCTTCCTATGTTTTAGTCTCCAGGCCTTTGATCATCTTAGTTGCTCTTCTCTGAACTTTTTCCAAGGTCTCAACATCTCTTTTGTACTATGGTGACCAAAATTGGCTGCAATATTCCAGATATGGTCTTGCTAGGGTTTTATAAAGTGATATTAATACTTCACTTGATCTTGATTCTATGCCTCTGTTAATCCAGGATTGTATTAGCTTTTTGGCTGCTGCTGCACACTGCTGGCTCATAGTCAAGTGATCGTCCACTAGGACTCCAAGGTCCCTCTCACAGTTACTCTTTTTAAGCCAGGTCTCGCCCAATCTGTACTTGTACCTTTGATTTTTCCTGCCTAAATGTAAAACTTTGTTTTACTCCACATTGAAACTTATTTTGTTGGATAGGGCCCATTGTTCAAGTTTGTCAAGATCTTTTTGTCTTCTGGGGTGTTGGCTACTCCTGCCAGTTTGGTGTCATCTGCAAATTTGATGAGTTCCCCTTCAATTCCCTCATCTAAGTCATCGATGAAGATATTGAAGAGCACTGGGCCTAAGACGGAACCTTGTGGTACCCCCCCCCTGCTTACTTCTCTCCATGTGAATGTAGTGCCATTGAGGACTACTTCTTGAGTAAGGTTTGTCAGCCAGCTACAGATCCATCTGGTGGTGAGATAAATTATTAATACAGATAGATCATACCTTAGATCTTTGTTTTTATGATAATTTAGGCCTCTAAAAGTAAGGTCCATATCTGCCATTTTTTATTGCTTCTTTGGCCTCAAAGTATGTGGCCCTCCTTTCTCCCCCATATCACTTTTTCTACATTTAACAGGTCCTTCTTCCTTTCCTCTTAAGTTATCCACTTCTTCCCTTCTCGTCTCCCATTTAAAAATAAACAGCTAATGGGATCAAAATTCAAGTAAAAGTTTAAGAGGGCAACATCTGTAATTAGAGAAATAATAGTTCATACCTTACATTTTACCAGCCATCACACACCAAATTCTCACAAGCACAACTCCATTTCAAGAGGAACAGCTCTCACTCCTGGCTGCCTTGGCACAAAGTGTTCCATTAATCATGGTTAACAGAGTAGTGTGTTTAGTATTGTACCATTTTCATTTAGCATGCTCTTATATCTGAGCCCAGTGCAATATCTATTTTGCCTCACACAACAGCCCTGCGAGGTAGACAGATGAGAAAATGTGACTGGCTCAAAATCAGTTAGGGGGCTTCCATGGCTGAGGTCTGCCTAACCATAATCTAATATCTTCTACCATCGCCAGCAATAATAATTATTTTCCACGGTTCGCACTATTTGCTTAAGTCACAACGAACAACATGGTAATTTGGTTCCCAAACATTTACTTCGTTGGGTTTTGGTTTAGCCCAGGGGTAGTCAACCTTGGCTCTTTTATGACTCGTGGACTTCAACTCCCAGAATTCCTGGCTCAGGAATTCTGGGAGTTGAAGTCCACGAGTCATAAAAGAGCCAAGGTTGACTACCCTTGGTTTAGCCAGTGCGGTTTGCAAACCATGGCTTATCAGATTGCGTGAACCCAGCCACCAAGTACGGCAGGACACTTGAGATTCGGATCGAAATACTAAATTTCTGCATGCTGTTTCAAAATCATTTTTTTCGTGGCACCCAAACTTCTGTCCAGAAGTTTATTCCTGCTTCTCTCTCGCCAAACTTTATTGCAGGCACTTTAGCTCCCCTGGCCTTCCTCCCTAATAAATCCGTGCTAAGTGGCACTGATTTCTCCGTGTTTTAAAACTCGGCCTTGCGGAGTCCTCCTCCTCCTCTCTCTCTCTCTCTCTCTCTCAAAAAAAAAAAAAAAATGTGGGTGGGTTGGCTCTATTTTCCGTACCGCTGCCGGG